TGTTAGTTTTTGTTTTTTGGTTTTTTTTAAAGCAGTATGAGACTGCTGGCTCACATTCAGCTTGCAGTCCAGTATAATTACCCCCAAATAAAAAGCAACATACTCATCTAAGATTTGAAGCCAGCCACCCAAGGCAAGAACCCTCCCTGTAGACTAATGAGTCAGGCATGTGCTTGACTTGACTAGATAGATAAATGGATGAGACAAGTAGGACAAATCTTATGTGTTTAATCATCCACTAGTAAATGATGGGTCCAGACTGGCTGTCAAACATGGGAACAATGGGAAAATAATATGCAATCCCTCCTGAGGAAAAGGCATAGTGTTTGCCCTTGACCTTAGCGTGTGGGGAGCTGGGGAAAGATTTCACTGTTTGCGCATGGTATAGTTGTGTGGTCAGCTTAAAGAAATCCTTAACAAAAGCCAAACCACAGCAGACTCATAAACAAAAACACCCACTTGACTCCGTCAAATGACTATTCAGAATGTAGTGTCAAAACCAGAGGGGAATTAGAGTTGACAGCATGTTGGCTTCTGCTGCAAACTGTTGGTTCCTTGTTAGCTGCCTCTAACATATTTTTTAAAACTTATTTTGTCTTATGCACATTTTGAGCTGTTAATGCTACCATGTTCACATAGATTATACAGTTTTCATCCTTAAGTAGGACTGCCAATGACTGTGAGTGATGGATTCTGAGTAGGTCACTCATCTACCTTGTGCCTGAGTTTCCCGGTCTGTAAAATGGGTGAATCAGAACCACCTTTCTCACAAGAGGAGATGTAAACATTAAACAGTGGCTTCTAAGATAACTTATGCATTGTCCTTTCTAAGGACAAATTATTGTTAACTTTTTTGAAAGGCAGGTTTCTCCACTTCTCTCTTCTGTTATCACTCAGGTCCATTCTTCTCATGGGGGTTGATGTTAGATGTTAGAAGAGCAAGTGAAATGGACTTATCATCTTCATCGCTAGATCTCTGCCATGTTGTTCCATAAAACTTGGCTGGTGTTACAGCAACAGATATCATTGCCAGGTTTGTTTCGTGTTAAGTGTGAGACATTCCAGCATTTCAATATCATGTCCCATTCTGAAATATTATGAAAAGTTGAAGTTTCAAACTCTCAGTGGAACTGAATTCTTGGAAATTTCCATTCAGATTGTTGAAAATTGTTGCAATGTCTACTGGGGGTGATTAGTTTGCAGCTCAGTTGGTAGTTGCAGCTCAGTAGGTATTTAGCATTGTAATTTTAAAATCAGGTGTCAAATTCCACCAAAATACCTTGCAACGCGGACAACACCTGAATGTGTGGTATGTGGCACCATAGATATGTCTACGGTGCCACATACGGCACAGCCATGCTCATCTGGACGCAGCCAGGGATTTTAAATAGGAATCCATCGTGTCCAAAATATTCTGCCCTGTTCTGCATTCTTTGCAACAGAGAAATTGTTCTTTTATTTTATTTTTCCATAGTCAAGAAGGGAGTCAAGAGTCAAGTGAAGGCATCTCCCAAGGGGTGCCTTGAGTCTAACAAGGGGCGCTTTGAGTCTAAAATGATTGAGACCCACTGCTGCAAGTAATGCAGTCGGACTATCTTCACAGCAGGATGGCTGCTGCGGATGGCTTGTTGCTGACATACTTGTAGAAACCCTTCTTGTAACCCTTCACACCCCTTGCTAGCTGCAACTCCAGCTGAGCTTTGAACTTCCTGACCTCATCCCTGCATGCCCGAGCAATACTCTTATACTCCTCCTTGAGTGTTTTTGCAAGTTTCCACTTCTTATAAGCTTTCTTTTTGTGATTAGGTTACTGAAGAGTTCCCTGCTAAGCCAAGTTGGTCTTCTGCCATACTTGCTAATCTGCCTGCACATCGGGATTGTTTGTTCCTGCACTCTCAGTAAGGCTTCTTTAAAATACAATCAGCTCTCGTGGGCCGGCTTCCCAGGGGATCCTGCCCATGAGTTCCCTGAGTGAGTCAAAGTCTGCTTCTATGAAGTCCAGGGCCCTTACTCTGCTGCTCTCCATCTTTCCTTTCCTCAGGATCCTGAACTCAATCACCTTGTGATCACTGCTGCCCAAGTTACCATCCCCACCAATTCTTCCCTGTTTGTGAGCATCAGGTCAAGAAGAGCACAGCCCCTGGTTGGCCACTCCAGCATTTGCACTGAAGTCTTGATGGGGCTAAAATCTAGGTCTGCAACGAATAAGTCTCCTTGTTAATTTGCCAGCAATTCAATCGCTGGGAAATAAATAAAGGAAATGTTATCTGATCACATGCGAAGCCAGACTATACTCACTTGACAACACTGTACCCATTGTGCCAAGAGAGATTAATCCTTTGTGCCTGTGTATTTCAGCAGCATAAATTTCAAGGTGGCATAAAGACAGAAGCCTGCTTTTCTCCTGTGTAGTTGTGCAGCCTGGCTCATTAACTAGATGTAAAATCACTGACAACAGCAGAGCAAAGCCATCTTGTGAAAGGAGGGAGAGTCAGCTCCAGCTTGGATTTAAAAATCTGCTATTCCCCAGTAAGCCATGAATTTATTAGGATTAATTCTAATTAGAAACATAAATGAATGGCTAATGATATGCATGGTACATTCAGGCAGCAGGCTGACCAGACCAACTCATTGCAGGGTGATCCGTAGATTTGAACTCGTTCTTTACTGAATAGAGTGACCGAGATCTTAAATGTCAACAAAACTATCGCTTCCTTTCAGTGAGTGCCTTGTGCTTTAAAAGCAATTTATGTTATCAAGGATACATAATAGGAGAAAGCAGTGTTCCTCTTTACCTGGGGTTGATTGAGGACAAAAACAGATTGCACAGTGCAATCCTTTGGGAAGGTGCTTTGGAAACTGCGTATAAAATGTAGGATGTTTGTGTTATTTACAGTTAAAGAATAGGATGGGGAGTCAGGACTCCTGGTGGGAAATCCTTACTCAGTTGAAGTCTATGGTGAAACTGCTGCTGACTTTACAAGTGTCAGGATTTCATCCTTAAGTAGGACTACCAATGACTGTGAGTGATGGGTTCTGAGTAGGTCACTCATCTACTTTGTGCCTGAGTTTCCCAGTCTGTAAAATGGGTGAATCAGAACCACCTTTCTCACAAGAGGAGATGTAAACATTAAACAGTGGCTTCTAAGATAACTTATGCATTGTCCTTTCTAAGGACAAATTATTGTTAACTTTTTTGAAAGGCAGGTTTCTCCACTTCTCTCTTCTGTTATCACTCATGTCCATTCTTCTCATGGGGGTTGATGTTAGATGTTTCAAGAGACAGAAAAAATGGTGCTGGGTTGTTGGCGGTGGCCGTGTTGGTCTAAGGACACAGGCAGGCAAGGTTCTTTGGGTAGATGTGATATCTTTTATTAGGCCAACTGAGTAGTTGGAAAAAAGTTCTTGGCAAGCTTTTTGGCACAATCACCCTTTTTCACACAAGTAAGAATCAGTCCTGCCCCAACAGGGGCTAGCTACACAATGATCCAAAACCCCAGTGGTTAGATCACCAAGCTCCAACACACACAGCATATTGTGTTGCCCCTCGTGTCACCGTTTACTGGCTTGTGCCCATGCTCTTATTATCTCTGTGATAACTCAGCTGAGGAGACTTTAAACCTAGGCTGTTCATTCAACACTGTGGGAACACTGCATTGTGCTATGAAGACCTTGGCTTTCAACAGCTGCTCTCTACCTTGCAGTGTGTCATGATGAACAAAACACCCAACTCGCCATTCACACGTATCTTTTTCAGATTAAACCATCTTTGAAAGTGGTAAGATTCCCTATGGCAGGCAGCTGAGAGAGTTATTATCCTCCCACCACTATTTCTACTCACTACTTCTCACGTCATAAACTTCTCTCTCTGAGTTCATCCAAGAGTTGTATTTTGCCAGTAGTTTCCCATAGGCCTGATTCATGATTGTGTGATTCCAGTTTTACACTTCATGTCAAAATGTAATGCTCAGATGAATTGCAAACCCTCAGAAAACGGGGCCTTGTCCATTACTATCCTCAGATAAGCACAGGGCTCTAAAAATATAAAATTTCTGAGTTTCAACTTTCCAAACCCCCCTTGTGACAGCATTATTTCCAGACTAAAATGCTTGTGATGTGAGGCCATTAGGACTGAGATTTAAATGACTCACTAGAACCTGAAGCATTAAAACAAAGCCTATTGTAGCAAGGAGGCTTGCCAGTTTGGGTCCAGGACCAAGTTTCAAAGTATTTCATTTTCTTTCCAAACCATGCAAGGGAATCATATATTTATGACTCCAGTTTTGTCTTCCATCTATCTGAAAGCAGAAAGAAAAGCAAAAACAAGAGGGATGTTTATATTTGTTGGCCAGAGAATGAACCTAAGTTTTGGCTGAAATTGCTTTTTGTTAAGAGAAGACACTGCAGGACGGAGCCATCACAGCTGAAATGAAAAATTTTTGCAGTTGTTATTTTAAGCTAAAGCAGAGATTTGGGGAGATTTACACATTAAGGAGAGCAGCAGAAAAGAGACAGAACAGATGAGATCCTTCTTTTAGAGTCTCAGATCTGACATATTAGCCCCTCGTCAGCTGAAAGTGCTTCAGAAGTTTCTCTAGCATGTTGTTTCAGGAATCAGGTGGCTCAGGGAACTGGGAATAATATATAGATGCTTTCAACTATAAATCACAGATTCAAATCTAATGTGTCAGTAGTGGCCAAAAGACATTACAGAAATTGTTTGTGCTGCTTCTTTTAGCTTCTTTTGTCTGAAGATCATGACATCCTTTTTATATGTTTTTGATGTAAGTCGCACAAGACACGTGTGTGTGGCAGGTAAATATTTTTATCCCTTTTCATCAGTGAAGGAACTGCTGTGTAGTAGGTTAGATTTTAAAGGATTTTAGCTTTCATTGAAATCAGTGAGAGTTAGGTACCTTAATACCTTTAAAAATGCAACCTAATGTGCCTAACAGATAATCAAAACATACCAAACTGCAAAGGCAAGGGGATTTATCCCCCATCAGCTGCTCTGCAGTATCTGTTTCATGTGTTTGCTCCTATCGTGCAGAGTGTATAAGCTCAACCGTGGAAACTGAGTCCTGTTTCATTCAGGATGAAGCTGCCCTGATTAGCTTCCACTTATTGTGCAGAAGGCGCAGGCAAAGAAACCTGTCCTGCAGAAGAGCTGATATGAGGTAAGTCCCCTTCACTTTTTTCTGTGGTATCATTTGTTTGCCTGTCCGTACCCAACTGATCAGCATAGGGTTACATGATGATGAGCAGGGATCTGGGTTTTCTGTTGCCTGTGGAAAAATGTGGAAAAATGAAGATTTTCCCTTTTAAAGCAGAAAAACCTGGATTTTCCCCTTTGACGTATGAAACTGAGGGTTTCCTCTTGCAGCCTGGTAGCCTGCAATGAGCTGCTTGGGGCTGGGTGGGAGTGCGGGGATGGCAATCGGAGGCAGGACCAGGGAGGTAAAGGGAAAAAAAAATATCTGGGGCGGCGGGGCAGGGGGTGCCATGTGCATGTACCCCCGATGACACAGGGGTGGTCCAGGTACACCAGAGCTTGGAACATAGTCCTGATGGCACAGGGCTGGTTTGGGCCTTCAGGGGCCAAGCTTTGGCAAGTCCAGACCAGCCCTGCACCACTGGGGAAGGGGCCAGGCTCCAGAAAGCCCTGTGCACCACCTGCCCCACACACCCATCCCCTGCCCCACACACCCACACGCGGGTCCTGCTGGCAGTGGTAGGGCTGGCAGTGCTAGGGTGGGGGGCAGAGTGGTCCCAGCTGTGGCCCCAGTCCTCCCCACACAGCCTGAGGAGAGCAGCAGCTCCTGCAGGCATGTCCCCAGCCTCCCATCACTCCACAGACCCTAGGAGCCTGCCTGCCCCGCTCCCTCTCCACATCCTACATGCTACAACTGCATGAAGTGTTAAAGCAAGTTTTGGAAATGGGCATTTAGAACTAGGTGACCTGAGACCTAAGTGGTTGTAAGAATAAGAATGAGTCCACTAACTGAGAAAGCAGTAGTATTTATTTACAGCTGTTTACCTCCATTTAACTCCATTCTCTGTTAATCAATCATATAGATTAAAGGAGCCAAAGAGAAAAAAAAAGCGCCATAGAAATTGCAAGTTCAGAGAAAATCCTGACGATTCGTGGTAGAGCAGTGAGGCGTGTCTTTGTGGCAGCAATGAGTATGTCATTTTTATCTTTATGTGTCTTCATGACAGCCAGTGGTTTTTACAGTTTAAAAAAATGTTACAGGCAGTTTTAATGAAGACTGAGCAGGTCACCTCAGTCTGACTGGTGGGGTAATGGGTGACTCCCATTTAACCAGTAACCCCAATCTAACCAGTGACACAAATCTAACTGGTGAGCCCAATGATTTTTTTGCAGCTTGGTTCCCATTGTGATTCAATAGGACAGGACCAATGATGGTTTGGTTCTGGCTCAGGTTCACGTCACAATACCAGTTCAAACCAGTTCTTAGGTTCTGATTCAATTCCAGTTCAGCTCCCAGCTAGATCAGAGTGCATTGGCACAGACACCCAGGGAAGCTGTGAACTCTCCAGTACTGGAGGCGTTCAGGAAGAAGATGGTTAGCCACTGGTTGGGGATATACCAATGCTCCTGCTGAGATTCAGCCCCCGAGGGTCCTGTTTACAGGGTCCTGCCTGTCTGGCCGAGAGTTAGACCAATGTTGCATTGAGAGGTCAGGAATGAATCTTCCCCTGATGAGATTGGTACAAATGGGGGGGGGGGGCAGGGTTGCCTTCCTTTGCAGCAGGGGCATGGGCTTGCATGGGATCTTGCAGCAGCTGCTGCTGAGGGGCTGCACCGGGCAGCCTGGCAGTCCTGTGTTACTCCTAGGTCCCCGACCCTGTGTCCCAAGACTCCAATATAGCTTGCTGCAATTTGCTGTAGGGTGTGCAGGGGCTGCAGGTTGGGAGTGAGGGGCACTGGCAGCACTGAGGGGCTGTGGTTTGGGAGTGAGGGGCAATGGCACGGGTAGGAGCAGGGGCAGGTACCAGCATGTCAGGGCTGCTCAGTGCTGCAAAGCAGAGGGTAGGTGGGGGGGACAGCTGCAGTTGGACCTGCATCCTGGTGTGTGGCAGGGGAGCTGCTTCTGGGAGGGAGTGAGTGGGGGGATAAGTAGGGGCTGTGGGTCAGGAGTGAGGGGCACCAGCAGGGTTGGAGGGACTGTGGCTTGGGGCTGAGGGGCACTGGCATATCAGGGCTGCTCAGTGTCACAAAGCAGCTGGGGGGTGGGGGGCAGTCGCAGCAGGACCCATGTTCTGGTGAGTGAAGGGGGCAGGAGGAGCTCTGATTTTCCATGATAAAAAAACCAAAATCAAACATCAGAATATTGAGGTATTTAGAGTTTATTTCATTATAATGATTGAAGCACTGGTAGTCTTCTGAATTGCTTTAACATTGTAAATATAGCAATAAAACATTGTGTTCAACTGATACCCCCATATATATATATATAATGGCATATATAATATATATATATATAATGGCATTTCATTTTAATTGCAGAAAAATGCAGATTTGGGGGTTTTAATCAGAGATTTTTGGATTTTTTAACAAAGAAAACCAGGGTCCTTGATAATGAAGTGACATGACTAGAACCCACCCCAGAGTTGTCACTAGCTGATTTCAGCCTTAATCACTAAACCGCACTTCCTGTTCCCGGTGGAATGAGCTGATCGTCTAGTCCAGCTCTTAGAGGACAGATGTGCATATTGTAGGAATCATTTGGGCATTTGGCCCCTTGCTTGCCAGTCTCACCAAAAGGGCCAAATATTTAAATCACTATGGAGACTCTCATGTACAAAGGTGGTCCCTTTAGAAGAGGTCAGAAGTACAACACTGTGGCAGGGCTCAGGCAGTGATGTGCCTGCTGGCCTTGCTTAGTGTATAAATTTCATCCTCAGGTACTATCCCTCTGGAACTTTTCACTCCAGTTAATTCACTTACAGTATCCCTTAGAGATTTAACAAGGGGTTGATTTTATCTTTGCGTGTCTTCAAGTGAGCCAGTGTTTTTTATAGTTTTTAAAAAAAATCGTTATGGGAAGTTTTAAAGAAGACTGAACCAATCACCTTTGCTAGCAAAGGTCTGCTTGGAAAGATAGGCACAAAGTGAGAGGCAGCAGATTAGAAGACCTGGAGGCATATCTGGAGGACATTGCAATACCAGAGCCACCGCTACTTCCAGCTCTTCCTTTGCTTCCGCCTGTGAGGAGTCTGTCCAGGCAGGACCACACACCATTGAGGCTTTCACCTAAGTCCTGGTTTGGTGCTGTGCAAACTGCGGCTTGCAGATTCCCTCCAGTGTCAGCCAGGTGGGGGAGTGCCTGCAATATGGGAGGCGGTGCCCCTCAGGGAGAAGGCAAGAGAGCTACAGGAGGAGGTAGAAAGGCTCTGAAGCATCCTCCGCCATGAGGATGTCATCGATTCCATGCTAGAGGAAATGTCTAGGACTGTGGAGGAAGGACTGCCAGAGGTGGTCCTAGAAAAGGAAGAAGCCATGGACTTCCAGGAAGCTGGAAGCTCATATCTTCTGGCAGCAAGAAGAAGTCGTCATCCCCATGTACAGTGGTTTGCCTGGAGAACAGATATGGAGCGCTAGCAACAGAGGAGAAGAAGAGCATGCCAGTGGTGGAAGAGGCCAGGCCAGGAATCCCCAAGGTGGGGAGGATCCGGACCACTGCCACGAAGAGGAAGTGATGGGTGGTGGTGGTTGGAGAATCCCCTTTGTGGGGAAGGGAGGTGTCCATCTCCTAGCCTGACCTGTTGTCCCGGGAGATCTGCTGCATGCCTGGAGCCTGGATCCAAGATGTCATGGAAGGGTTCCTGTGGCTTGTCCAGCCCTCTGACTACTGTCCTATGCTGCTTATCCATGTGGACACCAATGATAATGCGAGGGATGACCCTGAGCAGATCAAGAGTGGCTACAGGGCTCTGTGGGCAAGGGTGAAGGAGACAGGCGGTGTTTCCTCAATCCTTCTGGTCAAAGAGAAGGGCCCTGGCAGGAGCAGGCACATCCTACAGGTCAATGAATGGCTGCACAGGTGCTGTTGCAAGCAGGGATTCAGCTTCTTTGACCATGGGATGTTGTTCCACAAAGAAGAATTGCTGGAAAGAGACAGGATCCACCTGGTGAAGAGGGGGAAGAGCATATTTGCAGACAGGCTCACTAACCTGGTGAAGAAGGCTTTAAAATAAGTTCTCTGGAGGATGTAGAACAAAGCTCTGAGGCAAGTGGGGAAGCTGGGGACCAAGAGGAAGCACAAGCAGGAGGGGGCAACAAGGGAAGCCTTCTCATTGTTCCTGAGACAGCAGGGCAATTGGCTCCTTTCCTCTGATGTCTGTACACAAATGCACAGAGCCTGGAAAACAAGCAGGAAGCATTGGAAGTCCTCGGACAGTCAGGGAGTTATGGCATGATTGGAGTAACACAGACGTGGTGGGAACTCACATGACTGGAGCACTGTCATGGATGGGTACAAACTGTTCAGGAAGGACAGGCAGGGGAGAAGAGGAGGAAGAGTTGTGCTCTATGTAAAGAGCGGTTTGATTGTTCAGAGCTCCAGTATGAAACTGGACATGGGACTGTTGAAAGTTTCTGGATTCAGGTTAGAGGGGAGAGCAACAAGGGTGATGTTGTGGTGGGTGGGTGCTCTAGACCACCAGAACAGGAGGATGAGGTAGATGAGGCTTTCTTCAGACATCTAGCTGAAGTTTCCAGATCACAGGCCCTGGTTCTCATGGAGGACTTCAGTCACCCTGACATCTGCTGGGAGAGCAATACAGGAGTGCACAGAAAATCCTGGAAGTTTTTGGAGAGCGTTGGGGACAACTTCTTGGTGCAAGTGTTGGAGAGACCAATTGCGGGGCATGCTGTTCTTGACCTGCTGCTCACAAACCGGGAAGAATTGGTGGGGATGTAGATGGCAACTTGCACAGCAGTGACCATGAGATGATTGAGTTCAGGATCCTGAGGAAAGGAAGGATGGAGAGCAGCAGAGTATGGTCCCAGGACTTTAGAAAAGCAGACTTTTACTCAGGGAACTGATGGGTAGGATCCCCTGGGAGGCCAAAAAGGGGAGTCCAGGAAAGCTGGTTGTATTTTAAAGAAGCCTTACTGAGGATGTAGGAACAAAACATCCCGGTGTGCAGG